GCGCAAAAGCACCCTGAAAAAACCGTGCCGATTTTCCTAGGATTTCGAGTTTTTCGAAATAATTCTACACATTTCCCGGGCAACCCGGGCCTTTTAAAGGGATAGGCGTGGTCTTTGATTCCTTAAAAATTTGCTTGCCCCGCGACACGCAACGCGTTTCGATTACGCAATGAAATCCAGGTCGAGCGGGAAAATTCATGCAAATCTACAAGCTCTTCTTGCCAGTCCCTTTAAAGCGCACGTTCAGGGAGGGGCCGTGTACTCGTCCCAACGTGTACACCCTATGGACGCAGGGACCGCGCGCACTGCCTGCCCGTGCTGTGACAGGCCATTCCCCTCCTTTGCGGCGTGGGGTGCCCCTCGCCCCCACGTCAGGTTGTAGCTGTGGCTGACTGGTATCCATCCGCGCCTCCCGAGCGGGGGGCCCGGGTTCGACCCCCGGCCGCGGCGAAAATCTTTGCTTTTTTCCAAAAAACGTCCCTGAACGTGCCCTTTAAGACATTTTTGCCCTCCTACGAAATCCCAAAAACCCACACAACCCCACCAACGAATCTGAATTGTTTTTCGTTACCCTTTTCCCAGCTTTTCGCCACCATTCCCCATCCACCAAAAAGAACAACACTCCCCGGAAAATCTCCCCCATTTTTAATTTAATTTTGGGCATGCGGCTCCGCGCTTCTGCGCCTTGTGATTTTGCCGCTCGCCCGCCCGGCCCCGTACGTTGTTGTTGTTTTTCGGATTCCAAATATTGGGTAGCCACCGCACCGTGATTGTCATTTCTTTCTTCCGCCCCTACGTTCTTATGGGCCCTGTGTTTTTTTGGAATAAATAGGTTGTATCGATTTCGGATGCATAGAAATGCGGGCTGGCGGATCCGGAACGCTATTTTCAGGTTTTGCTGTCCGGAAACGCGACTTGGAAGGAATTAAGAACAGGGTGAGTATGTTAGAAACCTTTTTGTTCGAAACATTCGACCCTCAAAAGGTTACCAGTTTTTTTTTTGGTTCTGGAATTGTTGAAGCGACGCCGAATTAGACCATTGATATTGATTAGATGGCTGGACCCAAAATTCCTAAGAGATATTTGAGATTTGCTGCTGTGCTCCCGTATTTTTAAGCCTTTTTGCGGGCTTCTTTCTAAGACGCTAATTTGTTCTAATTTTGTCGCCGTTTGCCCTGGGGTCACGCGTGGCTCTCTTGCATACCACCTGCTCTCAAATTATCGATCGATCGACGGGCACTCCCTGCCTTATACTGCCCATTGTTTACCGAGCCGCAGCTGTCTCTCTCTCTCTCTCTCTCTCTCTCTCTTTCTCTCTCTCGCTTTTTTTTGCCGCTCACACGCTTATTCAGCAGTGCTTTTTGCATTTTTTCATACAAATTTTCCAAAAATGTTATATTTCATGGCAATTCATTTAATTTCATTAAAAGCACAGCAAAAGATGCGTATTTTTTGGGCTGCACCAGATGATAGCCGCTGTGATTCGTAAATTTCCAACGACGAAGAAAATTGCCAAAAACCCAAGCCCCGGTCGTACGCACGGTGTGTATTTTGGAGCGAGAAATCCCAGTTTCTCTCCCCTGTCATCCCCCGCCAGCTGGTGTTATCGCAAAATTCCGCCGGCGCATATTTCATGAGCTTCTCGCGGTGAATCACGCTTTTTGTGTACATGGAAATTTGGAAATGGGATTTTCAGGTTCTTTCCCATTATCGGGGGGGGGGGGGGTTTCCTACTGACCCAGAAACGCCTGGTAAGCTACATTTTAAGATTATGATTTTGATAAGCTTTACGAGAGTTCTGGCGCGAAAGCCATATAAAAAACCTCGAAAAAAATTTAAAATAGAAAAAGAAATTCGAAATTTCCGTCGAAAAACCGATACATTTGCATTTTTTAACCGCAGTTTGTAATTTTTTTTGTGTTCAGTAATAATAAAAAACACTGTAGGAACACGTCCTCTATTAATATTATAAAAATTTCGTGCTCCCCTGTTAATGCGAAGGAACGGATTTTAACCTTATTACGTAATTAAAAAGTTTCAAGCTATATTCATTAGATTTTCAAAATATCGTTCAACTTCGAAAAATTCAGGCAATATACCGAACAGCCTGGCTGATGGGACAAAGTGATAAAAACACTGTCGCCCTAGGTAACGCTTTGAGATTTAGTAACGTTATACCGAACTCACCCTCCTCTCTAGACTTCTTCAAAACAAATTTTGAAAACTTTCTCCGAACCCTGTTTGCTAACTTTCCCGATGTTATACACCAAATTTTTTGCCCTACGATGCGTTGTCATCACCACGGAAATTTTCAGCAAAGAGAATTTTCCTTGTACGGAAACTTAGGTGTAATGGTCTTCTGCGTCATGAATTTTCTAGATAATGTATTTCTGCGTACTGGTTTTTCTGTACAATGGTTTTCTGCGTAACGGATTTCTGCGTATTGAAATTTCTATGTATTGAAATTTCGATATAATGGGTTTCTACGTAATGGTTTTCTGCATAATGTATTTTCGGCATAATGGATTTCTGCGTAATGGTTTTGGGTAAAGCCCGCGAGTCAATGATGGAAACAACCTCAACGACCGCGGATACAACTTTTTTTTTGTATATAGAATCTTATGGGAGTGGAACGGTTGGGGTAACAAATTTCTGCGAAATATTTTTTCTATATAATGAATTTCTGCGTAATAGTTTTTCTGCGTAATGATTTTCTGTGTAATGGGATTTCGGTATAATGAAATTTCGGTCTAATGGTTTTCTGCGTAATGGATTTTCTGTCTAATGGATTTCTGCGTACCGAAATTTCTGCGTAATGTGAATTGCCCACGCTTTGACGAATTATGGCAGGGGAAAACCGGCAACTACCTTTGCCCTTGAAACACAGATTTTTGTAGATGAAGTTGCCTAGAAGCACCGCACACCATCTTAACAACATGTAACTAAGTAACGACTCTCTTCTCTTAAGACTGAAGGATTTGTGAGCATCCAATTTTTCTAATTAAAATAGCGGAAGTGTTTCTAAGCGTTTTTTACTATTCCTAAACATAAAACTTATAAGTTTTATTAAAGGATACAAAAAATCGTTTTTCGATTTAAATTTTACAATAAACTCGCCGTTTCAAGGGCCTTCGAATGGTTTTGCCTTTTCCGACGCCTGATAAGCCTTGAGAACCGTTTAACCCGTTTCGAAAAAAGGGCCAGATCTCGAGGGTTTTTTTGGAGCATATTGTATTTTCCACGGCATTTTCACTTGTTTTTTTCTCTTTTCTGGCTTTCCTCCTACGTGGCAAATTCTTCATTTCAGTGGTGATGCGACTATCCGGGAGCCAATTTTCCCTTAGAATACGGTAGCCCAGTGAAGCCGTGCAAATCCGAAGATGGCCCGCGCCGAATCCGTCACCTATGAATCGGAGATATCGATGAGTGTCGTCACGAATGACACCAATTTGATTCGGGTGGGTTGACAGAAACAGTGGCCGGGGCTCACGTTGGTGCTTTTGATAAATATGTGAAAAAAATATGTTGTGAAAGGCTAAGTGGGTAGCTTCCGGAAAAGTAGCTTTATAGGTACTTGTTTTTTGCTCCTGCTATATAAAAAATAGTGTCTCTGTGTGTAGACCCTTTGCATAAAATCCCGGATTCCAGCCATAACTCGAAGGGGAAGGATTTTTTTGATCCAGAAATTAGGTAGTTAGGGGTATTCGAGGGCGTAAATTACTGCACGCTTATCAGATTTTCACTGAAATTACGTTTTATGCTATTGTAACGTTTTTAAAACATATGGAAATAGACTAATTTGCATAGGAGAATTAGTTCGGCTCATGCTGGGCTTTGCGGGACTCGAAGACGGTTGCTCACGTAATTCCTGGCGCCCAGATCCCTAACGTAAATCGTAAGATTTGTGCAAATTCTGAAAACTGGAAGTAGTCTCTCTCTCTCTCTCTCTCGCTCTCTCTCTATCTCCAACACAAACATTACTCTCTAAATATTAGAGGTCAAAACTTTTGATTTCTCTTTAAATTCCTGTAGGCTCTACTAATCAAAAAGTCAATATTCAGGAATTTTCATGCTTCAACAAACTAATAGCTTTTTCGTGCCCTAATTTGTAATAATAGGGATTAATCAGCAACTTGAATTCCGACTTCCGTAAAGCATCGGCCATGATTTACGTTTCACGATTTCACGATTTACGTTCAAGAATTTTCATGTTTCAACAATCTACGGGGTTTTTTTCATTTAATTTAGCATAATGCCGCTTGGCTTTCCAAAACTTTTTGATGGATTTAATTCTTCAAATGCCCCATTTTCTATGTAATTATTTAGCGAGAACAGTGCTTCCGTTTAGTTTTTTTATTTTGCTTTGGGTAATGTTTGCTTTTTAGTATTAAATTACTTTAATAAAATTAGAAAATTTTATCGGGGGCGTGGAGAAATTTTTTCTTAGGAACCAATTTGTCGATATAAATAAATAAATAAACGGAAAATCAAACGGATTTTCGAGACATCAAGACTTCGACAAAACGAAACCATCAAAAAGTAGGATAAAATTTTGAGAATTTTCGAGCCATGACTTCCGCTTTTTTATAACTTGCATAAATTCGTCGTTTTGCGACTTTTACCATCTACGCTTCATTCAGCGAAAATTCTGCAGACAGTAGTCTTGCTCCCGCCCTTGACCGTCCCCTTAAATTTTCTAGTTTCACCTAGAATACATACCCCAGAAGGCCAATTTTGAGGCTATGAACTCTAGACAAATAAGGGTGACTTTTTCAATGATTTCTGCCCGTGCCGGCCAGGTCACCGCCACTGATTAGACCATTTCACCGAAAACAGCCCATTTCAGGGGGTTGTTCAGCTTCAATTCGACCCCCAGCCGATCCCTCGTATTTATTTATTTAGTTTTTTTCGCGGCCTGCGCCCTATTGGCCAAAGTGCCCTCTGATCGCCCTCATTTCTCTCACAAAAACGCGACACTGGAATAATTATTATTCGCCCACATGGACCGTTGCCAGGTATATTTGAAACATCGGTTCTTTCGCATTATCGGGCGGGGGAAGAAATTTTTTTTCTTAGGAACTATGTTTTCAAAATAGAGTTCCGGAGTTTTTCTAAACTGATTGTTTCTATCCTTAAACGTAAAAACTTTACAAAATTTTATTAAAAATACAAAAATATAGCTTTTTCGACCAAAAATGGCCGTTTCTTGACCAAATTTTGCCGTTTGGAAAAGTTTCAAGGTTTTTTAGATAGTTTTACTAGTTAAAATATCGTTTATTTTTAAAAAATTAGGAAACATTTCCTATTAAGTTACTAGGTACATTTCGATTAAAGGAAGCTTACTTTAATGGTGCAAAAATGATAAAATTAGTCGATATTAGGCGATATTGGGCGATAAAATTCAAGATAAATTTATTAAATATTTCGGATTAAATTGAAACTCATAGCTGAATTTGCCGTGCTCTAAACACTAACGTTAAAACTCTCAGGAAAGTAGTTTCGGCGCGTCGGGGCGTTTGTAATAAAATAAAAATAATTTTTCAGTTAATCCTGAAAACATTTTTAGTCGCGGCGCCGTTCGTTCCTTGACCGCCTCCGCGCAAGTGATGAGGACCCGGATTTTGAGCGGAAGCGGACGTATTGCTGGTGGGTGGATTTTCACAGGCTATTAAGATTTTTTGAGTAACTTCAGCATTAAGGTTTAGTTGACAATTTTGCAAATCCCATAAATTTAAATAGCTTGACGTGAAAGTAAAACCGTGGTAGCAAGTGCCAAGCTAACACTGGAAAATTGTTAAGTAAAATGTTTCAGCGCTGGATAAAGTTTAATTCAGCGCTAGCGGATTCCACTGGCAGCGATGTAATGAATTTCAAATTCTGGTTGGAATTTGTTAAAAATAAATTTGTATGATCCAGACTTTTAACAAAGACCAAAATTTACGCTTACTTTAATGCCAACGTGTGTACGATTTTAGTTCTTTTAATTAGGAGAGCTAATTCATCATGGACAGAACTCTAATTTAAATTAATTAATTAATTTTTAATGCATTAGTGCTCAGCCGATCTCATTTTTTATTAAGGTTTCTAATTATTGATGATTCAGACCTTACTACCTCCTGTGTTAACTTAAGGAAATATAAGCTTTTAACTGATTTGATTAGACCCTAAAATTTTTGATGATTCAGACTTTCGAGGGAGGCAAAAAATTATCGTGAAGTTAATTCAGTAATTGGGGTGGTTGCTGTGAATAAGAGATAAGTTAAATAATCGCCGTGAAGCGCCTCGGAAAATAGCATAATTTAAATGGAGGCGTATCGGATCCAATGCTATTTAACTGAATTAAGTTTAATTAACTAGTAGTTGCATCAATAAATTTATCGAATTTAATTTGGCTTTGATTTTTAGGTTGTTCATTAGAAAAATAAAATTATTATGGCGGCTACTAAAATTAAGGTTAAAATTCATAATTAGAAGGTTGAAATGTTAAAGGGCTGCCGACGGCATGTGTCGATCCCCCCTCATCAACAAATTGGCAAATAGCCAACAGGGGAGAGGCGCAGAGACATTTTCTTTCCCGCGCGTAACCTATTGACTATGCCGTCGGCATCCCTTTAAATTTACTTTTAATTTCCCCATTTTGGGCATTTACGGTTGATTTGAAAGAAGCAAAATGAAATTTTTAATGGATTTTATGAAAATTGAATTTTAATGCTTCAGACTTTCGAGGGAGTCAAAGACTTTGATTAAAGTTAATTCGTTCATCAGAGCAATGGCATGAATAAAAATAAGCTGATTAATCGCTGAGCTGCGCCCCAAAAAAGCTACGAGGTCCCAGCGGGCTGTCTGCTCACTCTCGATTTCCCTCCTTCTCGTGCTCCTCCGTTTGGCCTGCCCGAAATACCCCGCGCACCCACTCACTCTCCCTCTCCCCCCATTCAAACACGCCAACATCAGAAAAATCGAGGGTCCGAACCTCCCAATTAACCAGTTGTCCCTCACACAAATCCGCTCCGGATCCGATTTTATACTTATCACGGTTTTACAGGAAGTTTCAAGCCTCAAAACACGAGTTTATCTCGCTTCTTTTTTATTTTTACAAGCGCTAGGCTATATAAAAGGTTGAAAACACACTTTTATGGGAAATTAATCTTATTTTCGCTGTTTTCTAAAGCTGATGCTCAGCTTACCGTGCTAAAAATACCATTTTCTTCGTTTTTGTTCTTGGCTATTTTAGTAGCTCTATTTGAATGTTAGAAAGTTTTTAACATCAAATTAAATACGGATTTGGCGCATTTTTCGATTTTACGCGAATGCAAGATCTCTTATTAACCGATAAAAATAAATAAATGTATTTTTCTGCTACTATTAATTGCAATTAATTACAATAGAGGAACTTTTCTAAAAAAATTGTGCGTTTCATTTTTGTGGTGCTATGCTAACCTGATCCGGTTGGTTAATTAGTTGCTTGCTTGCAATTGTCACATTCAGCCTATCTCGTCACAGAATTCTCACTCTCTCTCTCTCTCGCTCTCTCTCTCTCTCTCTCTTTCTCTCTCTTTCTCTCCACACCAACACTTCTAAACGGCGCTCCCATTCCAAAGGGACTACTCTGTAAATATTGGAGGTCAAAATTTTGGTTGCTCTTATACGTCACCCCTGCTACCGAAAATGGGCGCCTTTCTGGAATTTTCATGTTTCAAAAAAATAATAGATTCTTCGCGCCCAAGTTGGTATAAGAGTGGGTAATCTTCGCTCCAGGCCCTCTCCAAGTCAAAGCCACTTCCATAATTCGACCTTACAAGGAGACGTTTTTAGGTGGGCACGGAGTTTCGTAACGAGACCTATCTCATTCGAAAGAGCTTGAAAAACTGAGCAAGATCCCGTTTTCCATTTCTGCGAAACGATAGCGACTGATTTTTAATAATTAAATTAAAGAATTAGCAGAAATTGGCATGAATCCCCTCGCGCGGAGCGATTTCCTTCCAAGGATCCCCTCTGTCGGAAAGCCAGGCCCCGTCTTCCCTTCCCCGTAGCGATTTGGCGCAGTCGGTACGGCGTTTGCCTCTCACGAAATTGTTTTGGACTTTTTGTCAGTTCGACCCCTGAGCCCAGATGTCGTTTTGCTTTTTAATTCCTGAACACTTTCTAAACGTGGAATCTAGTCCAAAATTAATTTTTTTTGTGGTATGCCCCAAACCGGTAGCGTTGCACTCGCGTCTCAGGGATTAAAATCAACTGGCCCGCTTGCGCCTACACCGATGCTGTTCAGAACATTTATGTAACGCATTGCGATAATTAAATTAAAATGAATAATAAATTTAGCCTCCTAAAATAAAAAGCAAAACGAATTCTGGGCTCAGGGGTCGAACTGACAAAAAGTCCAAAAAAATTTCGTGAGAGGCAAACGCCGTACCGACTGCGCCAAATCGCTACGGGGGAAGGGAAGACGGGGCCTGGCTTTCCGACAGAGGGGATCCTTGGAAGGAAATCGCTCCGCGCGAGGGGATTCATGCCAATTTCTGCTAATTTCTTAATTTAATTATTAAAAATCAATCGCTATCGTTTCGCAGAAATGGAAAACGGGATCTTGCTCAATTTTTCAAGCTCTTTCGAATAAGATAGGTCTCGTTACGAAACTCCGTGCCCACCTAAAAACGTCTCCTTGTTAGTTCTGGAATTCTCATGTTTCAACAATCTACTGCGCGGCTGAACTTCAATTTGGAGCAATACTGAGCCGCTATTCCCCCGCGCTTTTCCTGCTATTAAACTCTATTTTAGTCTTTCTCTTTTTCTTATTCTTCTTCTCTGTCTCACACGAAAATAATAGGCTGCCGTTTAAAACCTCTAAATTTGCCCAAACGTTTAAAACTTTTCTTAAATTATCGATAGCTTTCAATCTTCAAGTGTCACATTTTCTATGCAAATCTTTAAATAAAAATTCTGTTTCCTTTATTTCTGTAAAAGTCGCAATATTGTTCCTTACAATTCGCCGACTGTTCAAACTTGCAGCAGAATGCGCGGATGACGTGGCGCCGGCTGGTGACCAGTGCTTACTTGTCCTATCAAAAGTACGAGAAAACACAAAAAATCCAGAATGTCTTGATTATCGAATAAATTAAACTAAATTAAAGCGTTATGATTGATTTTAACAGGGCCTGCAAGGCTAATCGTCGCAAAAATCACATCGAAACCAATTAGAAAAGTTATGTTTCATAGATTTGGTGGCTCAGAAAAATGTTTTTTTTTTTATAATTCCGTGAGAATTTAGATCGTCATAAAATTGAAAAAATTTAAAATTGGCTTTTTCAAATCCGTTTACAGGGAATTACCGTTTGTTAGGTTATATAGACCGTTTACTGACAAAGTTTGCAAAATTTGTGTAGTCTTTTCCCGTAATTTAAACATCGATGCCAGTCGCCGTAAGGAGCTAGAAAATGATTACACCGTCACGGGTCAGAAAACTAAAAACTAAATGTTAATACAAAACCTGTTTTAATTATGTTTTTCAGCGGTATCCTAAACGTCGAGCCCGTCCTGCTACTTATCACAATTTCAACCGGACTATACGCCACTTCACAGCCCCTTTTCACCTACTGGGCACGATGCGTCGAGCTGGCAGCAAGCATGGTGCGTCTCCCTCTCCCTCTCTCTCTCTCTCTCTCTCTCTCTCTCAATATCTTGAGTTTTGTCACACAAATGGCAAGGTTTTCTGCTTTACGCTGCTGCACTTTCCTAATTTTTTTGAGAGATTGGTGCTCCCTCGAAATTCCTAATAAATTATCAGGCCAGTCCTGGGAAATCTAGCAAACATCTTTTTTTGTGGAATAAAAAACAATTCCCCTAAAACCAGCCAATTTTAAAGTACCCGGAGGAGGCGAACATCTCCTCCCTGTGCGCCATGATCGCCGGCGACAACGAGACGGCACTGCAGGACCTCGTTGAAAAGGACATCTCAGCGACAAAAATATGGTTACAGGTGCGATAATTGCCCTAGATTCGTTGTATTTTAACTTCCTAAATGAGCATGAAAAGCTCGCTGATCAAATATAAAAATTGTTTCGGAAGAAATCAAAACCCAGCCAGCAAAATAGGGGTTTAGTCGGCCGTGCGTCTATTTGCGATTTGCAAAAGTTATGTAAGTCCAACCTGTTTTTGCAGATCGCCAGCTCGGTGCCCACGTTTCTGATCGCTCCCATCATCGGCACGTGGTCGGATAAGACTGGTGAGTACTAAATTTGGACACAAAAAGCCTAAGCGTAGTCAATTCTTACGCTGGATCACCCACGTACATTAACATCGTATCCGGCAGAAAGTAGCGGCTGTGTTGGTGAAACATTTCCCAAAAAAAAAACTTTTCAAATGGGTCCACAACTACCCGACTACAGTGTGTGTGTCAAAAAGATAGAGCCACCTCTTTAAACGCCATTAACTTGGTCCTAGTTGTTTGACGGCAAGCTGACTAGCAGGTCTTGTAGCGCTCGAAAAGGCGCATTTTTCCATCTACTTGAAGTTTTTAGAAAATAAAGCCTGCGATTTTTATAAGCGAAGAACAAAATAGAGCCAAAAAACAGAAGTGTCAAAACGATAGAGCCACACTTTACATGTCATTAGCATCAAGTTTGGGCTTGCAAATTACATGCTAATGGCCATTCAAAGTGAATTTCCACTTGTGACTTCCGGAGTTTTCCGGGTGATGGTCAATTTGCATAGTTGTGGACTTCGTGTCAGCAATTAGCATGTAATTTGCAAGCCCAAACTTGATGCTAATGACATGTAAAGTGTGGCTCTATCGTTTTGACACTTCTGTTTTTTGGCTCTATTTGGTTCTTCGCTGATAAAAATTGCGGGCTGTATTTTCGAAAAACTTCAAGCAGATGCAACAATGCGCCTTTTCGAGCTCTATAAGAGCTGCTAGTTGGTTTTGCGTTCAATTCAACGAGGGCCGAGTAAAAAGAGTTCAAAGCGGTGGCTCTATCGTTTTGACACACACTGTTGGAGAAGAAGTCCATCATTCTAAAAAGAGATTCAACAACATTCCTAGGCCGCAAGCTGCCCCTCCTATTCGCCATGTCGGGTTTCATCCTCTACTCGTTCTTCAATCTGCTTGCCACGCTTACCTACGAGACGTCAAATATCTATTTATGGTAAGGGTTAGCTATCGGCCCCGACAAACAATATTATTGTTGTTAATTCGCTAGACACACACGTCAAAATAGTTTGTCACCAAGCCTGCATTAACCCCGCTCTTCCAGGTTCTTCCTCGCAGAGATCTCGATTGGCTTCTGCGGTGGTGCCACGACCCTGTTCACAACGATGCTTGCCATTGTCACAGATGATTGCAGAAATCAGCTGAATCCGGTGAGCCAATACTGCACCTCCGAAACTCCCCTGAAAGCGAGCGCGGTGGTCCCAGTAGCAACCAAGCCAAGCACCAATAACCGGGGGGAAAACTAGATCCAATCCTCCCATACAGTCACAAAGCTAACCCAGTCACCTGCGGGAGCCTACAAAAGTTTCAATAATTTCGACCCGGGTCGAATAACAACTCTAGAAAAGACTTGACAGCTCGGCGGTCCAAGGCGGGAGTTCCGCCACGAAAACCGAGTATACGGTAGGAAAATAGAACGTTACTGGAGCCTTTCGGAACTTTGCTTTAAGGTTAAATTTCACGGTTTTTGTATCGTTTTCAAAGGTTTTTTGTAACAAAAACATAACAAAATTTAGGGAAGCACGATGGTACCGCTGCGAATTGGCGTCGCCTCCTCGATCCAGTCGTTGGGCTCCTTACTGGGGACGCTAGGTATGAAATGATTATAGTTGTAGAGAAAACAGAGTAGAAAAACGACATTTTCTTTTTTTTGCAGTATAGAACGTTGTCGAGATTAATTAGAAACTTGAAAAGACGAGGTAGACGATTTAGAGATTTGGTATTTCATTCGGAGGGATGAAACGTTAGATTTTCTTGGTTTTCTAAGTTCTTTAAGGCTGTTTTTTTGCCATAAACACGCCAGAAAAATCAGGTTTGGCCACCACTAACTGCTTTTTTTGAGTTTTTAACATTTTACAGCCGTCTCCTTGCTGGCCATCCCCGCCTACATCAGCGTCACCGGGCACGCGCAAAGCTACGTCAACTGCGCGGTAATCCGTAAGTTTTTGCGGGGCGAGCTTTTCGAGAATTAATCTAGCCATAATACTATCCACTGAATTTACATTAAAACTTAATAGAAAAGCGTCACAAGCGCTATTTTCAGAATTCACCGCCGTGTTGATCGCGTTCGTGTACACAATTTTCTACGTCAAAGAAACGCATCACCCGCAGCTCGACCCGTACACGACGGCCGCACGATTTGGGGGTTATCGTAAGTGAATTGCGTATTTAGGAGGCGGACCAAAATTACAGGAGTATTGTATTGACCTAATTTTTTTCCATCACTTCTTTTTTCAAAACACATTTTTAGTGGTACGCGCCGATTCGGAAACTTCGGAAGTTCAGCCAGAGACGGGCTGTATCGCGAAGGCAAAAGGATATTTCAACGCGTTGATGGAGGTGGGGGTTTTCTTCTGATTTTTAAAAATATAAATTGTCTTTTTTAGGTGCTTCTTGAGCGACGGCCAGGGTGGACACGTTTGTGCCTCAATCTTTCCATCTTCTTCGTTTTTGTCGAATTTTTGGCGATGGGTAGGTCTTTATTAACAAAAAGTTTTTCTAAACTGGTTTTTACTACTCCTCAACGTAAAATTTCCTATTAAAAAATACAAAAATATCGATTTTTCGGGCAGAAATGGCCCATTTTGACCAAAATATCGAGTTTTGAAGCTTTACAGATTGTTTTTTTCTAGTTGATACAGGCCTATTTTACATTTTACTGAAACCTTGTTAAAATACTTGCCAATAAGCTAATAGGCATTTCTAAACTTACAAAAAATTGCCCTCCCTCCCCTGCTACTGCGAAAGGACCGTAATTTCAAGGTTACGTTAAGACACCGATAAAACGAATCGAAATCTTTAAACTTCTAGACGCGGGCCTCCTCTTTCTCCTCGTCAAGCGGCAACCCTTCGCGTGGACCGACAAGAAGTTCAGCGAGTTCAGCGTGTGGCGCGGGCTGTTCTTTTCGCTGGGCATGGTGCTGGGTCCGTTGATGTTGTCGAAGATGAACGTGCTCGGAAAGGACAGCTTGCTGATCATTATCGGATCGCTGTTCTCGGCCATTTCGTTCTTGATCTTGGCATTTGCCACCACAACTCAACAGATCTTTGCCAGTAAGTTTTTTATTAATATCAAAATTCGCATATAGTTTTGCGAGTTTAAATTCTAATTAAAAGCAAGAAATATAAGTTTTATTGCCAATATACGTATTTTTGCCTTTTTGGCGGATTTCAAATGAAAAGAAACGAGGATATTAACGTTTGCCAGACAAAAATTAACTGCCTTTACTGCTGAAACATTTTCTTCCAAAATTTCATACATTTATTTTTATGTAGAGAACTACGATACATTATCCAGTAGTATCTTATTTTCGTAAGCTCCTAAAATATCAGGTCTTTTTGCTTATGTTTTAGCGGATTCCAGACAGTGGATTCAACACAATAACGTTCGTGCGTCCGAATTTAACTGGTTTAACGCGGAAACATTTTTCTAATATACAGTGTTAAATTTCATGTAAAGAACGAAGGAGTAGATATATTTTTTGGCGAAGTTACTATGATATCAGGTGTTTTGGTTTATTTTTGGCTTTTTAGCGAATTAGAACGTACCTAAATACTAACGTTTGAGGCAGAAACGACAGAATGATCATACTTTGCATTAAATTCAATGACTATTATTTTGTGTTGTATGGTTATCAAAGAAAAATTAACGTTTCCACGACAGCATCAAACTGTTTTCGCCCTGAAACATTCTTCTAAAAAATTTCATATAGCTTCAGGTAAAAAGAGTTGATTTTATTAAATTAGTTGGGTTCACGTCCTAATACTTATTTTTGTTGTATTATTAGCGGATTCCGACAACGAACAAGGCAAAACTAACGTTTGCATGACAAAATTTAACTGGCTTAACGCTGGACCATTTTTTCTAAAAATAAATAGTTTTTAAAAACAGACAAAAATTGAACGATTTCAGCTGCCTTCCTGGCGATTTTCGTGGGTGTCATCTCGCCGGGATTCCGCTCATTCTTGCCGCGAATGGTGCCAAAGGAGCAGACGGCTCGGCTACTCACGCTAATTAGTATCGGTATGTTTTTGGAGATGGTAGGATGCGGCTTATTGTCATTGCCTCGAAACTTAATCTAGCCGAAATGTCGAACTTTGTCGAAATTTCGGCAAAATGAAATTTCGACAATTTTTTAGCAAATCTTAAGGTGCCGCCCATATCCGTAAATGAACAGCGCCTACCGTGACAAAAATCGATAAGAATCATAGCGCGTCATAAAGCGTTTTTAGAGCTATAGGGATCTTCAAAAACCATGTCAGCATTAAAAATGTTCCATTGGTTTTTGGTAGCTTTTCAGAATGAAACATTCAAAAGTTATTCCAAATGCCTATCACTATAATTGCCTATCACTATTAGGATACTTTGAGCTTCTTCTATCAAGTTTTTCGATAGAAGATTTCCTTTGTTTTTTCTTTAGTTCCTTTCCTTTTTGAATATTTGCCGGAATGTAGGATTGTTGTGGCTATTATTCTACTTTTAAGGATGGCAAAAAGGAAGCGCTACTGGCAAATTTTAATAAAATCACGAAAAATCCTTTTTACGTACTACCGGGAGACAGATTAATTATTTTACCAGAATGATTGAAAATAAAGTTTCATTAAATAATTGAGAAGATTAATAAAGATGTTTAAGTGGTAATTAATTATTTTAATTTTAATTTTAAAAACAGTTTGGGGCCCGGGTCGCCACGTTTCAAAGCTAATAAAAATATGTTTTACCCAGTTTTACCGCCAGAAGGCACGATCTTATATCAATACTCCGTCCATTAGTTGCAAGTCACCTTTTTTTTATTAAAGGGGCTCCGAAATCTGGTCCACGGCCCCCTGCTGTGATTCCTGGCAAATTGCCAGATCCGCCCGCAACGCGACCGCGCCGCATGATCTTTTGCCTCTGTTTGGACGCGAAAACGCTTGAATTTAAAAATTCTGATGCTATTTTTGGAATCCTCAACGAATTTTGATCATTCCAGACTTTTAAATTATGAAAATTGACCAGAGAATCACTGTGATCGAGAGATTGGGTGCCTTACAAGGCATTACGACAGGTAATCGCCGCGCACTCAATATTTCGTTTTGGCCCCAAAAAGAATTCGGATTTTCTCAAATATTTTACGTTTTTTCGCAATCAAATCACTTTTTAGCACTTCTTGGCAGTGACCCTTTCGTTTTTTGACCCGTAGGTTCAATCCGGCGCACGCACGAATTTTGACTTCTGAGCCCCTTTAAATGACATTTGTGATTGCTGCCTACCTTTTTATTGTAGTTGAACAGATACGATAAGGACTGGCCACCCAAAAAAAATTAAAGATCACAGGAAAAATTATGATGTTTTACACAAAAGCCTTACCCACACAGTTAAGAAACAATTCCACTTATATAAAAAATCTAGGCTTGGCCGAAAAAAGTTCAGTTCCCCCCCCACGCAAGAACCGTTTTCGGAAATATGAGTTTCGAAAATATGAGTTTTCGAAACTATGAGTTTCGAAAATGTGAGTTTCGAAAATATGAGTGCCTACCTAGTTTCTTTACTATTTTAATATTTGCCGGAATGTAGGATTGTTGTCGCTATTATTCTACTTTTAAGGATGACAAAAAGGAAGCGCTACTGGCAAATTTTAATAAAAATTCGAAAACTCTTTTTACCCGAATTTTTAAAAGTACTACCGGGAGACAGATTAATTATTTTACCTGATTGATTTAAAAATAAGAATTCATTAAATAATTGAGAATATTAATAAAGAGGTTTATGTGGTAATTAATTATTTTATTTTAATGTTAAAAACAGTTTGGAGGGGTCGGGTCGTCAGGTTTCAACGCTAATAAAAATATGTTTTACCCAGTTTTACCGCCAGAAGGCACGATCTTATATCAATACGTCTTCCATAAGTGGGAAGTCACCGTTTTTTATTAAATGGCATTTGGAATTGCTGACTACATTTTTATTGTAACTTAACAGATACGATAAGGACTGGCTGCCCGAAAAAATTTAAAATCACAGGAAAATTATGATGTTTTGCGCAAAAGCCTTCCCAACATAGGTGGATTTTTTATTAATACGTGGTAGAGAATTATCGTGAACACCAGTGGAAAAAAGCCGCTTCGCGGCAGTTTTCCACTGGCCACTTCTAGGTCCACATGACTCTGACCTCGGCAAAAATTCTACCGGAATTTTATGAGCCGGCCGTAGGCCGGTCACATAATGCTGAAAAATGGATTCAAAGAAACAATTCAAAAACATTTAGAGATAATTATGGCAAAGAACAAAATTTGAGAAAGCCAGACACATAATAGGGTGTTTAAAATATTTATTCGGCGAAATATAATGTAAAAAAAGATATGAACAACAACAATAATAACAACAGAAAAGGTAAACAATAGCAATAATAACAACAACCAAAATCAACAATGACAAAAGATGTAGAGTTTATTCGAGAACTTCTTCATAGACGACGTTCTTCATCTTGTTGTCCTTGGCCATTATCGAGACACCTTTGCGGCTCCGCGCTCTCGAGAGAGCAACATAAAGCTGGCCGTGTGCAAAGATGTCCTCGTGAAGAAGTGCAATGCCGACCTTTTCGAATGACTGCCCTTGACTTTTGTTGATGGTCATTGCGAAGCTCAGCCGAACCGGAAATTGGCGTCGCTTCAGCACGAATGGTAGTGTGGCTTTGTCATAAAGGCAATCAATTCGGGGGATTAACACTTTTTTGCCTTTCCTGCTACCCGTGGCAATTGAGCAGAGGAGAATTCTGGCTCCGATTTGCTCGACAATCAGCCTTGTACCGTTGCAGAGACCCTTTTTGACGCTGAGGTTTCGCAGAAGCATCACGATGCAACCCACCTTTAGATGGAGCAGGTGGGGAGGCATTCCAGATGGTGTCATTTTGTTTAGAAGCTCTGCGTTGAAGTTGGCAGCATCGGTTGGATCAGTAGTCTCGGCCGAGTCAGCACTTCTGAAGGTTTTGACTTCTCCGGGTAGCATATCCAAGATTCGATTGTTGAGCTCGAGAGCTTGTTCGTTCTTGGGTGTAAGGATAGCTACTTCAGAAAGTTCAACTCCTTCATCGAAGGCTGGTCGGAAGACTGCTTCGGCCAAATCTTGCTCGCATCTGAGATCTTCGGGTACTTCGAGGTATCCCTCTTCGTCTTTGTCGAGTAGATCGTTACCCAGAGCGAGAAGATAGTCCTTCCAATCGTTGCCGGCATCCCGAACCCTCATGTTCGTCGTGAGCTCAAACTTTCGGAAGAGAGGCCAGAGTCGGGATGACTTCAAGCAGGCTGACACCATTTCAGCACGACCACCGCCATCGACCACGGGAAGTACCTGTCGGAAATCTCCTCCAAGTACCATGACCTTTCCACCGAATGGCACATCGTTTTGCATAATGTCTTTAAGAAGAGCATCAGCTGCTTCAAGTGCTTCTTTCGGTGCCATTGGTGCTTCGTCCCAGATGATCAGGTCGATCTCAGCGAGTGCTCGTGCTTCAATGCTTTGCCTTTTCATGCTGGATTCCTTGTTGTTGGTCTTGATCAACAGCCGGAAGGCAGTGCTGACTGTACGTCCTTCTTCCAATAGGTTGGCGGCAATACCTGTCCACGCTACCGAGAGAATCTTTTTACCCATACCGGATAGAATGTGGTATATGGTTTGGTAGACAAAGGTTTTGCCGCTTCCCCTGGACCGTCAATGAAGAAGCACTGCCCACTTGGGTCTGCGACCTCGGCCAAGACTTCATCCGTTGCTCTCAGTTGTTCCGGGTTCAATTGCAAGTATTTGTCGTTCCCGAGTCGAGCATGCTCGGCGGGATCAACAACGACGATGTCGATGTCGTACTTTGGCAAATTGAGTTGGAACAACGGGCTGTCTCTGACCCCGAGAACTGTCAGATCTTCGACAATTTCCCAGTAGGCCTTTGACTCAGAGACTTGGATGGAAAGTCCGCGAGCAAGGAAGTCCTGCATTAGGTCGTTCTTGAAGCGTTCCCAGAACGCCACAGGGTCCTGCACGTCAGCGAAGCAGATCAGGGAAGAGAAGAAGCTGCGAAGTTCTCCAGGCATCCGCACATCGGCGGCTTCCTGCATCGTAGCTAGGTTCACAGAGTCATCGTTCATGTATCCTGCTGCTTTAGCGGCCTCAAAATAGGTGTTGTATTGAGTGCCGTTGATGGTGCGCAGTTGTTCGAAGCTCCTGGGGCCCTTAGTATAGAGCAGAAGCAGTCTCATGGCAAAACGCTCCGTGTCTCGTGGAGAGACATGGTACATCCGGCCAATCACCCGCGACGCATTCTTTCGTGGCACCCATTTGCCTTGAACGATACGATATTTTTCTGGCATTTGGCCATAGAAAAATTCTCTGGAATCTAAGACCTTTTCTGCGTCCCTCCTTCTCCCGATCTGCAGACACTTTTGACCGTTAACCGTGACCGTCCTTGCTCCGGTGTCCTCCAAATGCTGCATATGCGTGTTGATGGCAAAGAATGCGCTCAGCGTGGTCTTATGAGTGCGAGCTCTATTCAGTGCCGCCTGTGCATCTTCTGGGTCAAACACCACATTTTCAAATCCGTCAAGATGTACTTGGAGTCGGATGACTTTGTCGCTCTTCTTTTGCATGGGAAATGCGAAAAGACGATGGCAAGCTTCGGGAGCGCACAAATAACGACCCTGTATGTACCGTTCGATCTCATTGACCGGTCCAAGGTCATCATTGTTTGCATCCCGAATTTGGAAGCGAGCCCTGTCAGTACCCTTATAGACGTATTTGAATAGGTATTTGACCGAGTCGAAGGAGAAGCAGCATTCGAGGTTGATGTGGGCACCAAACCGAAGCAGGAGGTATGGGTTGTAAGGCACGACGTGACGGTTGTCAAGTACGACATCCACCCGGTTCACCGTATACCGAACAGTCCTTCCCTGGTCTCGGCGCCTGTATTTTGGATATCCGTCCGAAATCAAAGTGGTATCTCTGAATTCTTTTGGAAATCCTTTAGTACAGGTATTGTCTTGCATGCAGGGCGACGAAGG